TCCTTGACCGCCAGCGCAGCGCCTGTCCTTGCGAGCGCAGAGATGACGAGGCCGTTCCAACCAGAAATAATCTTATCATCAAGCTCAGGGCGGACGCGTTCCCGACCACGATGCGCCTTGAGCTTGGCTTTTGCCCGACGCAATAACACGAGCGACTTCCTCCCCGCTGATGCCAAATTGCTTGCCAATTTCGCTCTGCTCTTTCAGCACGCGGGGGATGTTCTGGTTCATAAACTCGTCGTTCGGATCTTGGTCGGGCTCCACGTTGCCGTGCTCCAGAATGTTCCAGTACGTGGCGGCAATCGTCGCCTCATGCTCGTCGCCAATCACAGCATCAAACTCCTTGCGCGTCCACAGGTGGAAAGCGCCCTCGCGAACATCAGTGTCGCCACGCCTGTAATAGGAGTCGGCGGCCTCACTGGAAGCAAAACCCCCTCCGGGAAGACGCATCGGCGGGCTCGAAAAATAGTCCGCGAGCTCAACGACGACATCATAGAGTTCACCATCCTTATCTCCGTTGCTAATAAGCCAGGCATCAAGATACAGGCCCAGCAGGAGAGCATTGTCCGAAGTTAGCTTTTCAAAGTGGGGAATGCTCCAGTCCGGAGTGATGGAGTATCTCGCGAAACCGCAACCACCAACATGGTCACGCAGGCCGCTGTCACGGATCTTTCGAAGGGTGAACAAGGCCATTTCTGTGGCGTGTGCACATTCGGTCGGGCCCACGACATCCTGGACCGGATGCAGGTAATGCGGCAAGCGCAGCAAGAAGGACAGTTTTGCGGGCACAGGGAACTTGGGCGCCAGACCGAAGCCACCATAGACCGGATCAAAGGTGCCAGCAATGTGAGAGTAGGCCTCTTCGAGCTGGTCGAGATCGAGTTCGCTCGAAACATCAGCGGCCGTCTTGCCAGCACCCGGATTCTCCGTCGATACAGCCGAAGCGACAGGGGCGGTAGACGAGGATGTCAGGCCAATCTTGCTCATCTGGACCGTGCTACGTGTGCCCAGTGTGCCCTCGGCGGCGAACTCGCGCAGCTTGGAGAGGACCTCCTTGGCTTCCTGGCGGCACCGAGGCTCCTGTTCCTGCCAGACTTTCCTCAGGTTCTTGAGGATGGCCAGAAAGTCAACACCCTCCTCTTCTTCGGGCCCCGTCTTGGTATGTGCGCCTGGACCAGGCCAGTAGGTGCCGCCAAAGACGGGTTCGAGCTCGGGTGTCAGGAAGAGGTTGAGGGGCCAGCCGCCTGCGCCGTTGACGGCCTGGACATAGTTCATGTAGATGGTATCGAGATCGGGTCGCTCTTCGCGGTCAACGATAACAGGCACAAAGGCCTCATTGAGGAGCGAGGCACATTCGGGATGGGAAAAGGAGTCGATAGCTGTCAGGCGGCAGTCTATCGAAAAGTCAGAAGTGGGGTCCTGGGCGATGCGCTGCTGCGTGTATTTGACACACACACGCTCTCTCTCGCTCTCTATCTCCCTTCCTCGCTCTCTCTCTTAGCCTGTCAGGCATTGATGAGGTCGACAAGGACGCTGCGAGAGGATGATTTGGGGGGGAAGCCGAACTGCAAAGACCAGCATGCTCAGCTGCGGCAGAAGGCAGGTAGGGATGGGATGGGATGGTGGGGGTTGAGCACGCACAGTGGCAAGCCTTGAAGCCAATGTTCAGGAAGATCAGTTTGTTCTCCCTCTTGGCGCGTTCGACAGCCTCATCGTCGAGCAGCTGCCAGGCGACAGGGCTGTTGATCTGGCCTTGTATGTAAGGACTGTTGCTCTGGTCGGCGCGGTTGCGTAGGCTCGGAGCCAGTTCCGGGGCGGTGACAGACTGGGGGCGGCAGGTCGGTCGAGTTCGTGGCCATGGCTTCAGATCCGAGTTTGGCAGACAGAGCAGACTGGACAGCTCGGAGGGGATCATCGCGCAAGAAACACGCGAAGGGGTTCGAGGGGCGACGGCGGGCGGGCGGGGGGAGGGTAGCGGGGGTATCAAGATCTTGTTTCGATTCGGAGTTCGGTGCGTCAGTTCGGCCCAGTCCAGCTAAGAACGGAACAGAACAGCACAAAGCAGGTCAGAGTAGACAGTAGCGAGGCAAAGAAGCGGCCGGCCGGGACAGGACTAGCAGAGTGTTCGGTAGGTAGTGGTAGGTAGTGGATGAGGTGGGGTGAGAGAAAGAGCGGCAGCGGCAGGTCGGCAGGTCGGAGGACACGCGAGTCATGTAGATGACGGAAGAGGGGTGAGGGGAGAGGCTTCGATTTCAATGGCGAAGCCAGGCCAAAAAAAAAAAAAGGGCTGAAGGGCTGAAGGATGAAAGGGTCCGCTACGGAGGAAATTGAGATGATTAAACAACAATAGAAAACGGGCCTGATGGGATGGGATCTGCCTTGCAGCCCAATGCAGAAGAGAGCCATTTCCTTGTTTAGGCAAGGCCAGGATGAGAAATTCAAAGTCCTTCCCTCCACCCCTCTCCAGTGGTACTGTAGGAGGTTGTAGTGGAGGAACGTGATAGTGATAATCCAGCTTGGTTGCTACATCTGTACAGTCATGTGCACATAGAGACTCTGCGACCCAGTAATCATTTCGAAACAATCTGACGCGCGTTGGCACAGATTATGAGAAGAGGATGGAGAGAGAGAGGCACGAGAAATAAATGCATGATTCAAAGGCCATCGGAGGAA